ATTCATATTTTACGAACCACCATTCGAACAGAGAGATTCGGGTTTTGCTTCAATATCCTATTCCCCTTTCGGCCCTGTGGAGTTCCGAATTCCAGTCTCCACGAGAATCACCCACTGAATGTTCAGCCAAATTGTGTGCTCTAACAGCTGCCTGCAGTTCTACGTCATAGTTGGTTCCAAAGGATACAGCAGTAGCCGTCGCGTTATTGATCAACTTCATATAGTTTTCAGCAACCGTTTTGTTGCGGAAACAGAGGAGTAGAAAATATATTGTTGATACCGCGCTCAGTACAGTATACACTTTGTTCAATTTTTGATCTCAAAAGGTTATTTGAATGGTATGAATGGTATAGCATAAGGGAAGGTCCATTAATTATGTCACGCAAATGTGGCCTCCCCCTTTGCCACATTTTTTGTATGGACCTTAATTGTTTTTTGTAAGGCTCCCCCCTAAAAGTTTGACATAATCAATGGATGATCCCTAAGTGTTCTACTACTACTTTTATTTCAAAATTTAGCCAACCCAATTCTGAGAAAATCAGGCACGATTCTTCAGAGTAAATTTTGAAAAATATTGTAACTTTGGGTGAACTTTTAGCACACAAAATTTGAAAATTATGTTGAACATTTTGCCTACGAGGAAAGTTCCATTTAATACCTTTCAAATTATCTAAAGAGAACGAAAATTGGACGTAACATGACAGAGATATGAACATAACAAATTTGTCATGTTTTTTTTTGAGTGTCCTTAAACTAATGCTCGAGAGTGTACCTTAAAATCATCTCCGTTAAATGGTCGACCGTTGTCTGTTCTGATATTGACCTGGAACCCTTCTCTATTGAATACCTCTTCCAATACTCTACGCGGTTTGTTGATTTAACCGGGCACGCGATCAAGAACCTGGATCGATATTCTACCAGGACTAAAATGTAAATACCACTGAACCTGGCGTAAGGACCGTTGAAATGCAGGGCAATTGTATCTCAACCCGATTTTGGCGCCGAGACGCGCTCCATTGGGGTGGTTCTTTCAGGTCTGCTAGTGGTCGCACAAGCTTTGCAGAATTTCACCCAGTTTTCCGCGTCTTTCGGCATCCCCGGCCACCAAACGCGCTCTCGGAGAATGCTCTTCAATTTACCTGCCATCGGATGACCTTTATGTGCTATGTCTAGCGTGCTTTGTTGAAGTGATTTCGGGATTACTGCGCGTCCTTGTTTGATGATGATCCCGCTTTTAATGTACAAGTCCTCCGAAACCATCTCAAATCGACACAGTTGTTTGGGCCAGTCTCCAGATTCCAGCGCTTTCAAAACTTCAGACAGTCTTACGTCCTCAGATGTGGCTTTTCTTATTTCATCTTCCGTCAAGAAACCGGCGGTGTTAGCTTCTACTCTTGCAATTTCCCAAGGACTCTCAGCTTCATCGAATGGCCCGTCTTCGACAGTGTAGAGTCGTGATGACGGATCGGTAATATTAAATCTACCTTCCACGTATTCCACTGTATAGCTTATAAGGACTCAGCCGCAGTGCCCAACCATCCGACCTAGTAAGGGCTCTCTTCGAATCCTCTCGGGAGCAATTCAAAATGAAAGCAACTCCTTTGGCATCTGTTCGAAGCGTAAAATGTTTTCCAAGCAGGTAATAATCAACGCTTCGCGCTGGTTTTGGATATATATTTTCTCTGGCGAAGCTTATTAGAGGCGAAGCTTATGATACGAGGGGTTCGATTTACGCCTTCTTGAACTAAGACCGCTCCTAGTGCGCTTGGAGAAGCGTCTGTGCACAAGACTGTTCTATCCGTTTCCGAAAAGTATCCCAAGGCAACTGTACTACGCACAATCCTTTCTTTAGTTGCTTCAAATGCAGCGGACTGTCGTGATCCCCCATCTCCATGTTTTTGTTGTTGCGACTTCCCATAATGGGCTCGTTATATCCGCGAAGTTACTAATGTATGGACTGATGAAGGACGTTAGACCCTAAAAACTACGGAACTCGGAGGCGGTGGTAGGTTGACGAAACTTCTGAATATGTTTGATTTTGACCTCGTCAATGTGAAATTTCTTACTATTCAACTCATGCCCCAAGAACTTGATGCGTTCTCTGTCAAATTCACATTTTTCCGAAGAAGGGTGACACATCTAAATCTCAAGTCTAGATGCTTAACAAATCTTCAACTAGCGAATCAATCTTCGAAAAATCTTCTTTCATTTCTCGCATCTACTTGCATCGCGCATCATCTTTTTGCAAGAAATCTTCAAAATCGTCGTTAATCTTCTTTCTATCTACTCAGCGTGCACGCAGCTAGCTACAGCAACACACAATCTTTCCTGCATCGTAGATAGAGTCGTCCCCCTCGCATTTTTCCAGGTTTAACGTGAGGTTGTTTACTCGCAAAATCTGTAAAACTTTGGCCACCGTCCTACGAAGTCCATGGAGAGTAGCCCCGAAGATAAGGATATCGTCTATGTAGACTATGACGTTCTTAATGTCCTTAAATATACGGCTCATCTCTCTCTGGAATACCTCAGGTGCGCAATTCACTCCGAACATAAGCCTTCTAAAGCGGTACATTCCGCTTTCAGGAATGTTCTTCGGAAAAGGCAGGATACTTTCGAGACGGAGTGTCAACGGGGCTTCGGTTGCTGGCGTCAAACCATTTAACCCGCCCAAGATTCTGTGACGGTTGAGTCCTTAGCAGACAATGACTCACCTGTCGACTTTTCCCCTGATTTTCTCAAGATCGGTTGCTCTAGGTCTGCTATTGTCCTCTCCAATACTGCGAGTCTCTCTTCAACAGCGGATGATGTTTAATAATCTTCAAAACTAAGATGCAAATATTTGGCGCAAACTAGCATAGCTTTATTTAGCACATTACTACTTTTCTTCGTTAGTGTTGTTTTTTGTTTTCAAAAGAAAAAAAAAGTCACTATAAGTTTGGCTATTGGGAATTAACTCTGTTGTATGGTCAGTGTACGTTTTATCTCTTAGGTAAACTGGGATTATTTCGGTTTCTCAATTTTGCCAGTGATCGCTTAGCTTACATCCATTTAAAGATCTAAAGTCGAGTCTAGAGACAATTTCAAATGGTGAGAATTTCCTTACCTTACCTATCTTTGATTATCGAACTAGAAAGTAAGATGTTCGTCCCGGATCATCATTATACCGTTATCCAATATGCCCGTCCCGGACCTTCTTGAATCCACGTTCGGTAAACCTAGTATGTCCGTTCCAGAACATCGTTACTCGTGCTTCAAAGTAAATCAAGATTTCCGTCCCGGATCATCTCTAATCCACTTTCCGAAACGGAAAGATGTCCGTCCCGGATCATGTAAGATGTTCGTCCCGGATCATCAATATTACGTGGTCCAATATGCCCGTCCCGGACCTTCTTGAATCCACGTTCGGCAAACCTAGTATGTCCGTTCCGGAACATCGTTACTCGTGCTTCAAAGTAAATCAAGATTTCCGTCCCGGATCATCTCTAATCCACTTTCCGAAACGGAAAGATGTCCGTCCCGGATCATGTAAGATGTTCGTCCCGGATCATCAATATTACGTGGTCCAATATGCCCGTCCCGGACCTTCTTGAATCCACGTTCGGCAAACCTAGTATGTCCGTTCCGGAACATCGTTACTCGTGCTTCAAAGTAAATCAAGATTTCCGTCTCGGATCGTCTCTAATCCACTTTCCAAAACAGTAAGATGTCCGTCCCGGATCATCATTACCTAAAAGATATTCGTTCGAATCATCTTTGCCCGGCATCGTAAAATGTTCGTCCCGAAACATCTTTACTCTCGCTTCAGAGTAAAGTGAGATGTCCGTCCCGGATCATCTTTAATCTACCTTCCGAAATAGGAAGATGTCCGTTCCGGATTATTCTTATTGAGCGATTGGAAAAGGAATCCAAAATGCCCTTCTCCGATGATTTTTTTATTTTTTATACGTTTTTTTCTTACCTCCGACAACAAAAAAAAATCAGCAGTTGTTCAGGATGAAGAAAAAAAAAGATGGCGTCCGACAATCGACTACCCGCTCACTTTTCACTTAACTACGCACTAGTTTTACACTTTCTTTTTTTTTCACTTCGACAAGTTTTCTCCTTCCTCCTGAGTTGGGTGATTCTCGTTATTGTTTTTTTTTCTCAGGTTCTTATCTGAAAAATTGCAATACGATGTGAATAAAATCACTGGCAGGATCGCCACTGTGGAATTCCGAATTCCAGTCTCCACGAGAATCACCCAGCGCAGGAGGCACGACTTACACGAATGACGCCTAGCAGCGGAAAAGGGGAGAGTCCTCTGGTTTCTGCAAAAGAGACTGGATTGGGTAGTGTATTTCACCCGCCGATGATGCCAATCACGTTCCGTTGCTAAGTGCATCCTTCTGTTCATTCATACGTTTGACATAACAACGAGGGGTAGGATAATGGATTATAATAAAGAGCCTGAATTTATAAAGAGGCGACATCTTATCCATTTGACAGGTCTTCTGCTCGATTGGAATGACGTTTCCTATGATTTTGACAGACAATCGATTGTTCCAATTTTGACATATCGTCTCTTTATAAATTCAGGGTGTATTCCAAAATCATCACATGGAACATGGAATGCAAACTCCAATGATAGTCTTTTTCATCAATGATTCCCCAGCTAAACCCCAGTGAAATTTTTCACTCATACGTGTGTTTCAAAAGTTACAGTGAATTGAAGGTGTTCGGATTAATGTGGATACAGACCTTACAATCAAAAAATAGCTGTATAATATACAGTGTATATGCTAATCTGCAGCTAAAACTGATAGTTGGGACGTCCCTTTTTCGCTATGCAATATATAAAACGACGAGGGCAAATGTAATTGGTTTGACCATATCAGCATCAGGATCGAACATGCCAAATCGGGATGAAATTCAATGAGATTTCATTTCTTAAGCTTTTCCACAGCAAAGAAATGGCAAACTTCTCACTTTTGGCTTTTCCGTCTCTTTTCCCCTCCTTGCAGATCATCATGCAATCGTTGGACACAATCGAGGACCAGCGAATATGGTTGTGGCAGCAGTATGCGATGCGGATGACCCCCTCGGTGCAGCGGATCGTCGAATTTGCCAAGCGGGTTCCCGGTTTCGGGGAGTTCCTACAGGACGATCAGCTGATCCTGATCAAGCTGGGCTTCTTCGAGGTGTGGCTCAGCCACGTCGCCAGGGCCACCAACGAGTCGGCGTTGACCTTCGACGATGGGGTGTACATTACCCGGCAGCAGCTAGAAGTGATATACGATGTAAGATGCAATCCATCGATTAAATGTTTCAGTGCAGTAATCGGAATTGATTTATTTTCTTCTACAGGTGGATTACACGAATGCACTGTTCAACTTCACTAGCGGATTGAACAACTGCTGTTTGAGTGATACCGAGATCGGGCTGTACTCGGCACTGATTTTGATGTCCGATCGACCCGGACTGATGGAGACCAAGATGGTGCTGAAAACGAGGGAGTGCATTGCGGAGGCATTGAGGGTGCAAATTACGCGGACCAGGTCCAATGCGGTCAATGCACTGCAGATAATGCCAGCACTAGAGGCTAAGATTCACGAGCTGCGAACGCTCGGCGAGAAACATTTCGCCCATTTGGAATGGTTCCGGCAAAATTGGAGCTCAATCCGATTGCCGCCGCTGTTTGCGGAAATATTCGACATTCCAAAATGTGAGGAAGATCTGCAGTAAGGGAGGGGAAGTTGAATCCTTTAGAAAACAATTGGCCAATAATATTAAGGAAATCGTACTTGATATTTCAATTTAGGAACATACATATATCGAACGAAAGCAAGACTTGCCAAATCTATATCAATGTGAGTGTTGACGTGTAGCGACAATTTAGACGATGAATGTTAACCGAAACGAAACGGTATTTATTTTTGTTAGCTTTCTTTCCATCAACGTTCCACGAAAATCTCGCTGGTTGTAAGCGATATAATCTTATCGAAACTCATTATAGATAGCCATTAGAACTCATCGGAAGGAAGTTAGCTTTTAGAATGAAATTAGGAAACCAATATCATACACTCTCTACCCGACATATCACTGATATCGATGTGAATTTGAAACCAGTAGAATTAAACCACAATTGACGACCCCTTCTTCTCCCTTTCCCCCCCCCCCTCCTCACGGTACTAGAAACGATACGCAAAACAATAATGTGGTGCTTGCATAGATAATGATTCTTATCATCAGTTAGATACAAGGAAACGAATGACGAACATGTTTAAGCGTTTCTACCGCAGTCGAAATGTCAATTTGATTATCAAATTTCACACATGGATGATGGAGTTACAAAAAATGGACGACAATGGTACAGATGTTTAGACTTGAGGATACCCAACCTGCTAGTCACGATCTTTTTTGATACAGTTGTCTATTGGTAACAGTTTCGATCCAGACATTTCGATCATATTGGGAAAAAGGATTTAAGCAGCAAAACAAAAGCAAAAAATGTTTCAAAATGCTGTGATTCAGACTGCAGTTGAGGCATTAGGTAGAGTTTTACGTCGTTGATGATCTTATTTCGAGCTCAATTGATTAAATGTTAGAGCCAGTTTTTGCGCAGGCATATATCTATTATTCTACAAATTGTGATGTATGTGTTACCAGAAAATTCTCCTCACACCTTGAAAGAGATACCCTTGGATAATGATGATGATTGGCGATATGTCTGAGCAGAACGACTTGAACAAGCCCTACTCACAAAATCATACTTAGCTGGTCGCTGTTTGGAGGGCCAAAAACGGATGACCCACGGGGATATAAGAAATCCCCTCCAGCAATCAAAATCACACCTATGGATTAATGCAATTATTGAAAAATTGGAGCAATTTATAGTTAAACTCCATCGGGACCACTTTCTCCAACTTTTCTGCATTGGATTCATGGAAAATATTGGTCAAATACTATTTAAACCAACCAGAACAGTACATTTTCATGTGAAGCTTGCCAAGAGCTGTCAAATAAACAAAGGGCTGAATGTGTCTTTTAATGGACCATTCGAATTAGATGGTTGTAGGACAAAAGGTCGAAGGATAAAAGGTCGAAAGAACAAAATTTCGAAGGTAGAACTGCACTTAGAGGGACTGAAAGGTCGGATGGTAAAAGAGTTGAAATGGACCAAAGCTCGAAATTGACAAAGGGTCGAAATGGATAAACTGGTCAAATTGTTGATGGATAAATTGGGTTGGCTAACACTCTTTTTGTTTTCCTTGATTTCTTTTCCGTCGATCTTGTCATCCGTGCTGAGCACTAATGCTACCTATACCAGGGACGCAGGTCCCACACCGAGGACTAACGGCTTCACTCCCCGAAGGAAGGCAGAGATGTTATGCCTCAGAACAGCCCGGCGGCGCTGACTAGGATTGAACCCAGGCCTGCTGGTGTTTTTTTTTATACAGGGGGGATTCTGCTCCCAGACACCTGAGAAGATAACTCAGGGTGTGGGGATGGGAGATGTAGCGCTCTCGACCCACTAAACCTTACCCTGTGCTCTAGGCCCTTGCCCTCCCAGGAACCGCCCGAATGCATTACGTCATGGGAGGGGGCCGGTTGCGCTATGGCGCATCACTAAGTGTTGTGTCAGACGTGACACTCGCTACTGCACAGTGAGCAGCTGTGCAGGGCCTTCCTCTTGTTGATCGCTGTTAGTTGTTCGTCTGAGTTCTAGAGCAGACGTGATAGCCAGCCAACTATCCTGGGCCAAACAGGACAGATGTGACCGCTTACCAGCTGCGTGTGCTAAGCACTCTAAGAACCCGGTGTCACTCCTGCCTTTGCACAACGAGGGTTTGTGCAGGGCTTATCAACCTCCTGGGACGAGCTGGATGGGGTTCCAGCGTCCTTACTCTGCGGTAGTTCGTTTAGCCGCAATATCTCTCCCTTGGGTTCGATAATTAACGTGTCCAGGGCACACCACGAGGAGGCGAACTACTTCATGCCCCAGGCCTGCTGGGGTGAGAAGCAATCCCGCTTACCACTACACCACCGGCGCTGCTATGGCTAACACTCAAATATGTTTCCTTCTTTAAATCATGAACAGTTCTTTGGAACATTATGATAACTAACAATTATTGAGCGTGTCACAGTAATTAAGAGACACATTTCATGTTGTTGTTTTGACCTTTTGTCCCTCTATGTTTGGCCTTTTGTTCATTCGACCTTTTGTCCATTCGACTATTTTGTCCCTTTCGAACTTTAGTCCATTCGGTCATTCGTCCATTCAACCTTTTGTCCGTTAGACCTTTTATCCATTTCGGCCTATAGTCCTTTTCGATCTTTGTCCATTCACCCTAGTAACCACCATGCCCGCTAACTTCCCGATAATCGCCCTTTTTGCGATATAAGGTAAATATAGGGTTTCCGATCTTTATATCAGTCGTATATCAGCCTTATAATGCTAAAAGGGCGATTAGCGAGCTTGTTGGTTACTTGGCCAACCTTCAGTCCATTTGGCGTTTTGTCCTTTTAACTTTTTGTCACTTAAAAAAAAAAAATCTATTGTTCTTTGACCTTTTGTCATAAATTCTTGAAAAACATTGCTGAAACCTCGGCTGCAAGAATAATTAAATTAAGTCATACTAAGCAAAGGTTAAACGAGTACCTAATTGAAAAACGGTTATAGGACCAGAGGTGGCAACAGTACATTTTTTGAAAAACCATCGTCCAGAGCGAAACAAAACAGCCAGCACACGGGCGGCCGTTTATAACTACATTCCAAGCGAACAGCGGAGATAGAGAATAAATAAAATCTCGCAGCCTGATTTTTCCAAACAGTTTATTGTAATGAAATTTTAGCTGCAGGCTTGCGTGTGACAGTAAATTACCAACTCCCTTATTTACGCATAATTTTAACATCAATGCTTATGAGTGGTCAGTCTTCATTCTTATCTTTTAATTCCATGCAATAAACATCAAATATATGCAGTGATTAGCCAGAAATCAGTAAAATTCTACACGACATAAATTTATGTCGCGCGCGCCGCCGGTATTGTCTGCTTCTTTGTGCGAAAATGTTCTGTCGCTGGCAGAAAACAGTTTAGAAATGTCATGACATTTTTGCCGCTTGCCAGTTTGTTTTTGTGTGTCGTCAAAATGGTTATCGCAAAAAGTATCAAATGTTAAGGAAAAAATGTTAAACTCCAGGACTCGTGCCACCACTGTATAGGACAAAAGGTCGATGAACAAAAGGTCGAAGGACAAAAGGTCAAATGAACAAAAGGTCGAATTTACAAAAGGTAAAATACAATTTAAACAACATGTTGAATGGACAAAAGGTCGAATGAACAAAAGGTCGAATGGACAAAAGGTCGAATGGACAAAAGATCGAATGGAAAAAGGTCAGATTAACTAAATTTCGAATGGACAAAAGGTCGTATAGACATTAGGTCAAATACAATTTAAAGAGATAAGAGGTCGAATGGGCAAAACGTCGAAATGGATAAAAGGTTGAGTGGACAAAAGGTCGAAATGAACAAAAGGTTGATTGGACAAAATATTGAATGGAAAAGATCCAATGGAAAAAGATCGAATGGACAAATAGTAGAAAAGGTTTTTCAACTGAAAATGCTTACAAAATTATTTCAAACTATTGGAGTTGATTCCTTCTTTATAACGTGAGCAGTTCTCTGAATGATAGAAGTTTTTGAACGCTGCAGCTGCTTGAACATTATATTTCACACTTGGTGGTCACTTTTTCCTCATAACATGAGCAGATATTCGACAGGTTAAATCCAGGGTTGCTGCTGAAAATGCTCAAAATTTATTTCTCACTCTTGGGGAAGACTCCTTCTTTATGACATGAGCAGTTTTTTGAAAGATATAGGCTATTGAATGCTCGAGAGTTATTTGACTATCTTGGAGTTAATACCCCGTTTTACACAGCCTCCACCGTTTAAACTTTACAGAGACATTTTTTCTGTTTCAAAATATGTTACAAATAATCTTAAAACTAGAATTAAAGTATGAGGAAGAAGAAAAATGGAATCAACTCGATCGTGGGCTTGATCATAATTATTTTGTTAAAAATGGGGCTCGGTGACTATTTTTGTTCGCTGAGCAGTAGATCGTGGGTTCAGACTCCTGCACATGTTTTTTAGTATCACATCGCTGGCACGTAGTGTTTGCCATGATCGTCGTCACCATCCTTAGGTTTGAATGGTAATATCATGTGAGGTGTGACCGATGACCTTAGAGTGACCGTTTTTACCGAAGATTAATGTTACCCTGATCGGGAAAGTCATCTCGAGCGGACATTCGGTTCCGGAAATGTATCTAAAAAAGAGGAAATGATCTAACTGCTTCTACTAATTTCGTACGAGAAACCTTTATTTATGTTAGACATTTCATTTCGTTAAAGCAACTTAATCGAAATGAGTTGCTGATATTATGCTCTACCATTCTTGTATGGATTGATCACAGATTTTGAGACCAGAAAGTAATGAGGATCGTGACATGGTAACGGTTGGTAACCACTGCTCCTATAACTTAAATCTTGACATTTTCTCGCACAACCTAACTACAAAGTGAAAAGAAAGAAGACGATTATCGAAGACAAATAACTAACTAACTAAGACAACTAATCTGTGAATTCCTTTACATTGTGAATTGTGAACCACTCATGTGGGAAAGATAAGAAAAAAAACAACTACTGAGCTACTTTTTACTAGAAATCTTTAACTGTAAGTTAAACTAGCTTAGCGCAAATATTGCAGTGAAGGTAGTGTAATTAGTTCAAATTAACGTATGAAATCACACATTTCACACCCATATGTCATCCATAGGACACTCATACATGTACACACTCACACAAGCGATAAATGACGTGGAAACAAGTGAATGAACTGGTGCTGTATCTTTAATGCGATAATTTTAGGTAATTTTTAATGTAAACCGATTATATGGTAATTTTAAGGCAAGGTCAAAGCGAGCAGCTTGCTTTGAATTTTGAGTGTTATTCTGCGAATGAGTCCTGGTGATAACAGCTGTTATGTACGTCATTATTTTCTTTTTCCCAACTGACAATCGGGTGCAGATTTTATACTTTCGCACAAATTCCCCAACCACCCCTTCTTCCCGCATATAGATATTTTTACGCATATCATTAATATATTTCTTACATTGAAACAATGTGGAAGACATCCCTAGGAGAGAAGATGAATCTATTTATATATTGTTATTTACGTGTAGATCGTTTACATTCCGGAGGGACGACGAGTAACTCACGCACGAACCGAACCGCGGTAATTTTATTGTTACTTGGTTGTGTACTTTGCTTAGAAAAATTGTGGTACTTTTGAGTGCAGAAATGAGTGAGAGGGCGAGCGAGACAGACATAGAGAAGAA